CCGCCATCGCCAACCGCCGCCGCCTCTCTACGCCCCGCCCGCCGGGCTCCCAGCCGCCAATCAGGCTCCGAGAAGCCTTCCCCTCCCGCGACGTGCCACGAGCCCCGGAGCCCGCGAGCTCCCGCCTCCCCAGCGGCCAATCCAAGGTCGGCGCTTCGCCGGTCTAACCAATCACAGCGCGGAAGCGGGAGACACGCAACCGCCCCGCCCACCGATGAAGTGAGGCATGCTGGGACATGTAGTTTCCTTAGCGTCCTCCCCCTCCCCCCGTGTGGCAGTGAGCTGTGTTCCTAGGGGGGCTCCATGGGGCACCCTGCAAGCTCCCTAGGACTTGGCAGCACCAGCTGGCCCTGCACAGTCCAGGGTGCCCTGCAGGCGCATGCGGGGGACTTGACACGGGGTGACTGGGGTCACCACATACAACGCACCGCCCCCGGACGCACCATCCACGCGTGGTCTCCGCTCCGCCTGGCTGACATGGCCCATGGCTGTTGGGTGCCACGTCTGTGCTGCCACCGAGGAGTTCCAGTCAGGGCCTTATTGCAATATGGAAAGGCACCACCTGCCTCCCATTCCTGCCCTGTGGGGCTGCACCACGGCTCTGACTTCCCGGCCCCTTAACTCTCTCTCTCGCCTCCATCCTCAACTCCTGTTACTGTCCTATGTCCCCCACCCTCACTGCCAAGGCTGCATGTAACACTGCCTATACCTGCTTTGCAGTTCTTGTTTCCTCCTCCCTCCCTTCTGCTCCATATCCATCTCCCTGAATCCCCATCCTCGCCCCTCACTATTTCTATTAGCTGTGCCACTCTTGCTGTACACACACGTTGACTTGGAACAATCTCTGTCTTCCTGGCATTCTCTCCCAAACCTTTTCAAATTCCTCTCTGAAAGTCTCTTCTTTCCGGACTCCTCCACAAAGATTCCCTCCCTTTTCATTCGTTACACATTTTCTCTCCATTGGTGTTAATGGTGCTTTATGGGCATGTTAAATGAAGTCGCTGCCCCAAGGAAGTTACCATCAAATGGGAGAGGAAACTCATTGTCATTACTCAATGGCCATAGTAGGGACTTGGGGAGAGAATGGAACAGTGGGAAAGGGTAATTTTAGGAGGGAAGCAGATGGCACATTTTTTTTGTAAGTTTATTTATAGATCACAAGCAGCTGGAGGAACAGAAGAATTTATCTATTTAATCTATTTCCATGGACTCTGCTCAATTGGACTGGATCCATGTAAACTCCAAAGGGAAAGGGCTGGTGGGGAGCCGGTCAGC